GACTGCATTAGAACCAATCAGACGCATTGAAGTAAACGAGGCTGATTGCAGAGTGCCCGCAACCTCGACTTATTTCGACGATGCTTAATCAACCCCGTCGCTCGTCCTCTCGGGCCGGCGATGCATGCTGACGCAGCTTGAAAAAAACACGCTCTCCAGAGAACGTTCCTCATTTACGATTATCGCGCGTATCTTACGAAAAACCGACTACCTGCCGGTTTCCTCCGACCTCCTACCTCCCAGGCACCTCCTCGCGGAATGCGGTCCGCGCTAGCCCGCGAGCTGGAGGCGCCTAGGCGTATTCCTTGACACACTTAATTACACGATGGGATCTAACGATGCGACATGGGTCCTCTCGGTCTTTGTCTCCGCCTCCGGCTCCCGAGAATAACGAGCGACTTCTCGCTCGTCTTCGGCTTCTATTTTTTTTTTTTTGTACCACCGCCGCCGCGCCGGTCGACCGGCGCTCGACACGGTGCGCGACACACGTCGCCTAAGTGCATTTGCAGAACAAAAGCCGGGCTATGCGTCAGCAGCGAGCCCTTCGAGACGGCGTTCAAGCGAAACGACGTGGAAGCGACGCGACGAAGCGGGAGAGAGGACGAAAGGAAGTCTCGACGGAGGTCGAGCTCCCATTCGTCCTTTCTTCCATCTCCTGCTTTTCTTCCCCGTGCCTCTCTCCCCTTCTTTCTCTCGCTCTCTCTCCCTCTCTCTCTCCCTCTCTCTTCATGTTCCTTTTAGTGGACGCGTGCGCCTTTTTGCCGATTTCACAACACGCGATTCCTGAAATTCAAAGGATGGAACAATGTCCTGAAAACGTATCCTTTCGAATCGCCATTGTGCCGAATAAATCAAATTCAACGGAAGAATAAAAATACATTCTTTCAATGAAGATCCTCGTTCCGAAGCATTTAATCTTGAGACTATGAGAATGGAGATTTCGAAAATGTATCTCCTAGAAAGGATGTCATTATCCTGAGATATTTAATCCTACATTCACGAGAGAGCGAGAGATAATTCTCTGAAAGATATATGTGTTATCGAGATACCGTCATCCTCGCAAAAGTTCACGAATGATCACGAAATCTCGTAACGAGGTCAGGTGACAGCTGGAAGAAAAAAACATTCAAAAAGTGTCAACGCTCCGAGATCATCTAAATCACATCTAAATGCACACGTCATTACTCGCGGGTTCAATACAATGTCTCGCCCCTCACTTCAGCTCGCGATCTTCGACGGAACATTGTATGGTATCGCCGGAGCTCCTTCTCGAAGATTAAACTTCCTCCCAAGGAGCACGATTAACTCGTTCAGTTCTTTCTTTCTCTTTTTCGGGTTTCTCCCCCCCTCCCCCCGCCCTTCCCCAGGAGCCTCGAGTCCCTTAAACGGATGCGGCTTCAATGGGACATAAATCAACGCGCGAGATACGAGCGGTAACATCGGGAACTCTTACTCCGCGTAATAGAGACGAGATGAGGTCGGGGTCTCGTACGAGGCGAAGATAAAGATCGCGCGCGCTGTAATCCGCCGGGGCACGACGGCGCGACGTTATCTACGACAGGAACTGCATTCTGTCGTAAGACAACTGTTTACCCGGGTCGGCACTCGACAAAGGGACGCGGCGGTTATTAGCCGCGTCTAGGCAAACAGCGCCGCGTGTATGTGCCAGATCGCATTCCCCCCGCGAATACACGCAAAGTATGCGAAAGCGGAAGGATCTCCCGCCGGCACGCTCTGACGTTTCTGACAAAACGTGCCGAGATTACGTGTGTGATTCCCGGCCGCGTGAAGTTTCCGGAAGCGGAAAAGTGGGCGTCCTTCGTGACGCTTGAGGAACTTTTCCCGAGAAGCCTGCGGCTCTCAAACGTTTCAGGACGCGGGTCAAGTTCCGAGGATAATCAGAGAAAGAATTTCGCACCTTTCTCATATATAATAAAATAATATGGAATATAATAATAATAATAATAATAATAATAATAATAATAATAATAATAATAATAATAATAATAATAATAATAGAGTAATAATAAAAAATTAATTTTCTTCGGTTCTTATGACAGCTGCCTCAATGCCGTAAAATTCCTAGCAATCCTACAGAGTTTATGTTTATTTAATATAGAAAATAAATTTTAAAG